CAGTAAAAGGGGTGAAGGTCAAATGAAAGTGTCAGAAGTCTGGGTGGGGAGTGGAAAGGAAATGTTTTAGAGAGTGTCAATGGGACAGTGAAGCATTTTCTATGTAGGGAAACAACTTAAGTTGACTAGTTGAAAGGGTGTTTATTTATGTACTGGTCGCATTGAGTTTTCAAAAGGTTACCGTTTGAAAGATGAGGGGAAAGAAAAAAGATTTAGAACTTTAAATAAGTAAATAAATAGATATTCGAAATTGATGTTGGGGTGGGTGGTGGGGTCGTTGGAACAGTTAAAGGGAAAGTAGGGTTTTCATGTCTGAGTGTAAGTGGATAGAGGGGGAGAGGGGGGAGGGGGTAGATGTGTCTGACGAGGCGTGGAGAGGGTGTCTGCGTGTTTTTAAGGCAAGCCAAGCGTCAAATTGTGTGCTGTGTTATCTAACTGCTGAGGTGTTACTATTTATAGTGTGTGTGGGTGGGGTGGGGGGGGAGGGGGGAGGGTTTGACGAACAGATTGCTGTGTGAGCGATTTAGTTGGAGGGTGAAAGGTGGTATGTTCAAGTCGGTGTTTATGTTTAGTTGAATGTTTAGTACCCACAGGTTAGGGGTGTGTAGGCGTGTAGCTATCACGTGTAGGGATACAGTGGAGTTTTATAGGTCAAAAATTGGTGTTCACATAAAAGAGTTAGTAAAGTTTACAAAACAACTGTAAGTGTTAATTTGGTGATAATAAAATGAATACAAAAGGAGTAGGGGTCTTTGGGATCGTTTTGTACGTTGTGGACCAAAGTACCTTACATATATGATAGTAGTAAAATAGAAACAAATGAAGGCTTTACAATGTTTGTAAGCTGTATAAATAATACAATACACAAAACGCAACAATAGGAAACTGAATAGCAAATGATAAATGATGCGAAACAAGGTGGGGACATGGGGGTTGAGGGGTGGGAGTCACATTAATGTTGTTAGAAATGTATTTGGATAATACATCCTTTTCAGTATTTAACATAGTATTTCATCACAGGGGTGGGAGTCATGGAGACAGGACGGACCTAGAGCAAAAAGCTAGGACGTTTGCTATATATAGACAGACTATATGGAACTGTAGAATCAAAGCAAAACTCGACAAGGTACAGTTCACGGGACACGTACTAGACTTGATTTATCGTAGACGACTCGATAAAGACAGCACTCAAACACATATACCAGAATTAGCAACACCACAACGTAAAGAACATATTTTACTGCATTTGCCACCTGGCCCGCATAATCAAACATCCCCTTTCATCACACCCTCCCCGCCCCCCGCCCCCCGCCCCAAAAGCCTCATGATCCCAATATTAAATTTCCCCTCATAATTGCATCCACTCGTTCAATTCTGTATGTTTGTATGTAAAATGTTTGTCGTGGATTACAAAAGAATATAAGAAAAAAACGATACTTCTATTGATTCAAAAATTACATAATTAAAGTGCTCATGGTCTAATTTTATGAGTTTAAAAATTAATATTGAAAGTGTTTTAAAATAATTTTCATTTTGTCTACTTAAAATAATAATTTTCAATATGAATATTACATAAAATTAAAAAAATAAATAAATCTATCAACGTTTATAAAATTTCCAAACGTGTCTGAAAATTATTTACATTTAGTCCTTTACGCTCATTACGTCCCTTGATTAAAAAAACACAGTAACTTCCCTTTAAAAAACATCGGGTGGAACAGAATTTACTTTTTATTACTTTGTTTTGGTGTTAGGAAAAAAATAATTTGTTTGTGCGTTTGCGCGTGCGCGTGCGCGTGCGTGCGTCAGGGGTCGGCAACCTTGTAAGACGGAAGAGCCAAAAGTAACAATTTACAAGATCTCCCACCTTTTAAAGAGCCACTATTATTTTAACTTCAATATTATGATCTTTGATTAGTATTAGGTATATATATATATATATATATATATATATATATATATATATATATATATATATATATATATATATATATATATATATATATATATATATATATATATATATATATATATATATATATATATATATATATATATATATATATATATATATATATATATATATATATATATATATATATATATATATATATATATATATATATATATATATATATATATATATATATGTGTCAGGGATTGATCAAGTACAAATGTTGTGGGGGTATTTTTAATACCGCCTTTTATTTATTCTATACACTGAACTTACTGTTTAGTAATTATTTTTTTAAATCAATAACAGTTAACAAGCCAGGTCCTACATGTCCTATATGTTTATTTCTTTCCGTTTACGGATAAGCTTGGAGTATTATAATTGTTCATTAAATTGAAACAGGCACGTCCGCCGGCGCCCTACAAAGTTCAATTTGGCGCCCTGGGCTATCCTTTAAGCGCTATGGTGCATAATTTAGCTTTAATCAGTGCGATAGAATATCGATAAATAGCAATATAAACATAAAGTGATATTTCAACGCCAAGGGTAAACAAAGGTACAGAATATAGTCCAAGAAAAGACAGAACAGACAGACGTCCTTGTTGTGTTGTGTTATGTTGTGTTGTGTTTGTGTTGTGTTTGTGTTATGTTCGCGGTTCTTTTTTGTGTGTTTTGGTTTTGGTTGGTTGTTGTTAGGGTGGGCAATGCCGGGCATATGCTGATTACCAAACACACATGTCATGGTCCTTTACAGATAGGTTTTTCACAGAGGCCAGAGCATGGCCTGGCCGGGACGGCTAGTAATGTATATAATGCATGCAATATACATTTACATGAAAAGAAGTGGAATGGGGGGGGGGTTATAAGAAATACAATTCTAACACAATTCTGATGTGTTTGGTATGGGTTAATTCCCCTAAAGTAGTCTTATGTAGATAGTTCGTACAAATGATTACCTAAAATAATCGAGTTTTAATATCTCTAATTGTACCCATGTCTAAAGAACATGTTAGTTGAGGGAACGTGTGCATAGTAACGACCTTAATATCGCTTCATATCACCAGGTAACGTATTCTGATACATCTATTAATAGGTGTGGCCTGTAGTCATTATGCATGTAAATAAACAATACCGTATTGTTTTAAGAATGACATTACTCAGTAGTAGGAGAAGTTTGGGGAGATACCATCATATTGGATATGACTGTAAAATCATCTTGGAATAGAGTAGGCCATAAACGAGAGGGATGTAATTGACAGGGGGTTATTACTCCGGGGTGGGGGTAATGTGGGGTGTAATGTCCGGGGTGTAATTTACGGGGGGGGGGGGGAGGGAAATGCCCTGTTCCCTTAAAATGGTAGGCTAGAAAATAATGGACCGTTCAGCAGAACTATGTCGACTACTAGAGCTCTTTCCATTGAAATACAGTGACTGTGGGGAAAAGTAGCGGGCTCATTTGGCTGATGTCTCGATCAAATTATAATTTTAATAATTTTGTTTTTACTGTGATAATGTATTTAAATTTAATGAAATTAGTTTAGTTAGTAAGGCGTAATATTTAATTTTCAATAATCAAATAACAAGTTTTAGTTTTATAAAAATATTATAAAATACAGTAAATTAGAAATCATGCATAAACGACGCCAGACTTTTTTGACTATTTTCACCAATCCCCCTCCCCAACATCGTAGAAAATACTAGACCCCCACCCCCCTAAAATGACGTTACTCTTCCGCCTACAAACCTCCTCAAAATTGAAGTTGAAATTTTCTAAAAACATCGATATATTTTCAAAATCTATTTTGAACCATGTCAACATTGAATATTTCAATCAATTTCTATTTCAATTTATTAAAACCGTTTTCTATAACTCAAAATAAAGGCTAAAATTCGTTTTTTAAAATTGCTTTTTAAAATGCAAAAGTGTGACTTTACACCTTTTGAACCCTCCCATCCTCACACACTGTCACCAAATAGAGAACCTCCCCCCCCCCTCTTTACGAGTGTGACATAATTTATGGACGACAACTTAACGTTTATTCCACCTTATGTAGGCCTACCGCTCGATATTCTTAGATATTAGGCAAAATTGTTTACAAAAGCTAAGATTATAGCAAACACTGCACCATTGATTAAAACTAAATCGGTGTTGTTGAATAATAAACAAAATAACAATTACAAGTATGTGTTGTTGAAATGACCACTAAACATTGTAAAAAAACGAAAACGCGTCCATTATTATCACGACGACGGGGGAAAAACATTGGTAAAGCGGCAACCTACTATACTACAGCTGTCATTGATATTCGAAAGGGAAAAAACTCTTAATTGAGAATGGCTTACATAGTTACTGCGCTTTCAAAACTCTTTACTGTAGGCTTATGATCAATGTTCGATGTCATTGGCATTAGTTATGATATGATAAACATACTAAATCATTTCACACTTGTATAACTTATATTACCAATGAATTTACTATTATCAAAAAAATTAATAACTAAAAAAACATTTAAATTTCTGTTTAATTTTTTTTTCATAAGCATTAAAACAAATTCATGAAAAAACAGACTACAAGAGAAATTAGAACAATTTGAGGAGATTTGATACAATTCAAGTACCAATGTTATATATCAGTAAGATTTGTAGAAAAAGATAATATATCAATGCATTTCTTATATTTTGTATACAACTGACTAAACTAAATATTTAAATCAGGAAGTTGAAATGGTACACAAATTTCAATCAAAATGGATTTATATATGGCTATAATTCAAACACCTTTAGCAGGTTATTGCAGATTAAATTAACAATTAAATTTTATGTTTTAAAATGTATTTTAATTATTTTTCTCCTTGTTACATCACATCAAAAAGCAGTTTGTATATAATACAATGACAATATAAGCGATGACATATAAAGGAAAGATGCATAATAAAACAAAGAAAAAAAACACTAAATTTTTGGTTTCTTATTAAGCTTGACAGAAATGTTAATAATAGAAGAAAAAAACGCTCACTCAATTCAAGGTGAATTGTGTGCAAAAATTATATTTTAATGACTTTGTCTTTGAACAAAAAATTTTTGATGAACCGTTCGTTTTGTTCCCATAAAATGTATATCTATTTTTGAATTTGAAAAAAAAATCCTGTTTCGCTATTCCTATTAAAAAGAGTCGTTGAATGTGCATATTAAGCTGATGGAATTATGTACCTAAAAAACTTAAGAGCCACTTTTATCAAACGCCAATTTATGATAAAATATCGAATTACTTGATTTGCACGATAGAGTTGGGAGATATAAAGCGAAAATTAAAACCCTGTTAGATGCTTATTTACATTGTGTAAACGATTACACTACTGTACGTATACTATGTATTCAAGAAAATAAAAAAAAAATTTCAAAGGTAAATAGAAACATTGTCGCTAAAACAAGATTCCCTTGCAAAAATACAACACAATGAACATTTGATATAAAGATTATAAGAAAAGTTATTCATACTATAATAATTGCACCTTTTTTAAAAAATATTGCTGATTGGTGTGTTTGTGGAGTGAAGAATTTGCTCAGCTCTTTCTGTCTTAGAAAATAAAGAATATCAATTCTTTTAAACCAACGCCAACAGTTGTATTTAATGACTGCTTCTATTTGTAAAAGATTAAAAATAAATGAAACTCAGGCATTATCCTTTTTTTGCTTTTTAATTTTCCTTCCATCTTCAATTGTTGTGTTGTTAGTAGCTACACGCTTTTTAAAAGATCCAAATGATTTTTTCAAAGAGTTGTGCAACTTTTCAATGCTCTCGAGTTGCGTTCTATTCTCTTTAATTTGATTTTTAAGTTCTTCAATGCCATTTTCAGACATTGTAGCCATTTCTTTAACTTCGTTCACGTCTTCTTTTAAACTTTGACACAGTTCTGACGCTGGTTTGTATTGATCACAAAGGGAATTAACATTTTCTAAAATACCTTTAAGGTCTTCAACTTGTGCACAGTACAAAACTGACTCAACTGTAACTGTCCATAGTAAGACAAGAGAACCATCTGGACCTATTAGACCCGTGTTCTTGACCACGTCCAGTTCAACTTTCATCCAGTCGTTTGGTAAACAACAATAGCCTTGTCTAGGCTTATGGAAATAACTCCATGTCTCGTCAATAAAATGTTTTCTCTCATCATTTCTGTCATCTTTAATCTCAACTTTCCAAGTCACTTTAGCAGGCCATTCAGCCCTAAAGCTGTGATTGTTATTTTGTTGCGACGGGTACAATTCTAAATAAAAGTACAGCAATTTGTCTCCGTAAAACTTCAAACGCCCCATCCATTTGCCGAAATTGCTTAGTTGTTGTCTAGGGGTCTCTTCCTCTGAATAACTCGAAAAACGTGTTTCAAATTTGTTAATCTTTTGTATATACTCCACACGGCAATGAGGAATGTTGTGGTTGCTTGTGTCTTTTATATACTTCAGTGCCTTTGCCGATTCAAGTTTTAGATTTGTTAACCCGCTCGGCATTTTTTACCCTTTTAAATGTAGCAGGTTTGATCTGAGTAGAAAAAACAACAATAGAATGCATTAAAAATAAATTAAATATTATACTACAAAAATATTTTGTTTAATATAAACATGATATACAATAGATAACATGAGTTAAATAGCCTGTAGACTAAATTAGTATACCTGCTGACATAAGCAGGACGCACTAACTGTAAACTTCGGGTTTTAGGTTAACTTTTTTATTTTAAAAAAAATGGGCAAACAAATTTCGACATGGTGTACTCAACAACTCGATCAATATTGCACGCGATCGGTTACATTTCCTAAAGAGTGCTGGGCATGCTCTCTAGTTCTTATTTGTAGCAGACCATGTGCTAGAACAGGGGCTCCAAACTACGGATGCGGCCCGCGAGGTCCTCTTATCCGGCCCGCGGAGATCTTTTTGTTCACGGAAAAAAATGTTTGTTAGAAATGGCTGAGGAGCTTTGCCGAGAAAATTCAAAACATTTTAAAAATGTAGATTTTGGTGTAATACCATTGCCCTCCGTGTTGCTGACATGGATGAAAACATTGTGACTCAAATAGTGAAAACTGCTAACAAGACCTCCAGCTGCAGTTTCAGTAGCGGTTTTCCGACTAGGTTTCAAAGGCAGAAGTGAGACTGTTTCAAAACCCATTTGAAGCAAATGTAACCAGTTGCCAAGATGAACTACAGATGGAGGTCATTGAATAGCAAGCAAATGACCTCCTTGGAGACAAGTTCAAAAAATGGCAGGTGGGTTTTTGTGTTTGCCCAAGGGGAACATACTTGGACCTCGAGTGTGTTGTTGGCCCACGACAATGTTTCTTTCAGACTTTTTCTCCAGGGTAGGGGGGGTGCATTTAAAATGTGTATATATTTCTATATACATTATATTTCGTTGGTGGTGGGGGGGGTGTACGGGGACACCGCATGGAAGAAACTCTGGGCCCCAAACTGATATTTGATAGTTAATGCGGCCCTCGGGCTGAAATGTTTGGAGACCCCTGCGCTAGAACATGTGTAACTTAAGGCACCCAACTGTACACTAGCACAGTTGCTTGGAAGGTGCACCTGATTTGATTTTATAATCAGTTGCAGTAAGCCATCGTATCACTATTTTAGAGCAAATTAAAAGAAACGTAGGCCGCTTTGTGCACTAAGAGTCCCTGAAGGAAATACCCGGCGCTCTACGACAACTGATGCAAGTAGTACACCACACCAGTGCAGGATACACAAACAGCTCATTGCAAGAGTTGATGAACCATAGGCACGAATACTCTGGACGTCCTATCGCACACTATGACCTCCGATATTTTTAAATTATTAATGAAGTTTCGTCATATTAACTAAAATCGTACTAAAATTATCGTGTACATAGACAGAAAGACAGATAACACACTCACACGCATATAGAAGAATAAAGATATACAGGCAAAACTGAATAACTAACACAAGAAGGGTAAAGTATCAAGACTTATCAAAATTTCGATTTAGATTTTGTACACGATAATGCTTCCTCTACTCTTTGTGAATTATTAACACTCAAATTTTTGTTACAAAATGTATTGAAATTACATGGGCACTACTATTTGTAATATAACTATGCAAAGAACAAATTTAGGAGGAAATCCATGATTATGTTCAAATGGGCATACCTCAACGCCTAACCCTGTTAGTAAGCTTACACAAAGTGTCTTCGGCCGTACAAACACGAATCAACGGGCACATAAGTGTGACACACGTTACTAGCGGTTAGCAACCTGGTACTGTTTTTTTAGTATGATAAACATTTTTAAAATAGCAATCTACAATGTTTATATATAATGTTTTTTTACCTAAATAAAGGTCATCCATAAATGTCGTCACGCTTTTTGACGATTTTTACCTACCCCCCCCCACTCCACTCCGTTACAAGTCGTCACAAAAAGCCAGACCCCCCCAACCTAAAATGACGTCACACCTCAGCCTACAACCCCCCTCCCCCTCCCTCAAAATTGCTGTTGAATTTTTCTTAAAACATCAATATGTTTCTAAAATCATGTAACAACTCTTTCAACATAGAAAATTTTGAGCAATTCCTATTACAATTTATTAAAACCGTTTTTTAAAACGAGAAACAACGGCTAAAACTCGTTTTTTAACATTGCTTTTATATAATGCAAACGTGTAACGTCACACCATCTAACCCCCACTCCCTCTCATCACACACCGTCACAAAATTACGCAAACCCCCTCCCCACTACGAGTGTGACGTCAGTTATGGACGACCCCATAGTGTGATAAAGACAGATAGGAAATAACTAATCTTATTCTTACATCACTGTAGCAATAAAACATAAATAAATACTATAGAAGTGGACTTACGTCATAAACGAGCAAATTGCGCTATTCTTAATTAAAGATGAAAATAATTGGAACAGTAGAGAAAACCACTCCTTTCAGAATAAAGCACACATAACAGACTTGCTCTAGGCTACAGTATCGATTCTATTCATGTGTTCGTAAAAGCAGCATAGTAAGCACACTGACTGCACACTTATCAGCGGTTCTTAAACGCTATGAATATATATATTAAATTATGTAAAAATCATCAAAACTATTGTTTTTCTTTTTAAGGGAGAAAAGAACAAAGTTAAACTTGAATAAATTTTAATTTTAAAATTGTATAAACGGATTTTGTTCATGTTTTAGTGAATTTTAATTAGGCTGGCTTTATCTTGCATATACACAATGTTTGCAAACTGCTCTGTGTAACATTACTATTGTTAAACATTTTTTTTAATAATAATACATTTTGTGAAAGTAATTTTAACTTATACAGCAATGTTTATTATAGTGTCGTTAAAAGTGTATAGGTAGTGATGACGTGAGAGAATTTTGTGCGTACGTTGGGTATCTACAAACATGGGTCGAAGAGAAGCAGCATGTTTCAGACAAAAATATGGGGCTGGTCTGGTTACTTTGAAATTAACTATGCAAGAAATTAATCTGTGCTAAACATTTTTGTAAAATGGTGCCTATTTTTGCAACATCACGTTATGGTGTCAGAAATAGAGGTCGTGCTATATAAGGTAAGGCCATTTGTGGACGTTGGACGTGTGAATGATTTGCTTGTTTAAATGAACATAGACAAGGCAGCGCGGTCGGATTGGAACTGGTGAGCTATATCTGCCCCATGGGCAGCAACGTTAGATTAGCTGACTTTACTTGATGAAATAGTCTTGTGTCTGAAATTTTTTGTCTGAGATATGGTATAGATGTAGTAGAAAAACATGTAACTTGGTTGTAGTTGCTAGATTTTTTTTCCAACAGCTGTATTTTTTCAACTTTAAACACTTAATGATTTTTTTGCTTTATGATGCATTATGAAACTACTCTTAAAGCAGAACCATTGGCATCTATTCTTTCTGACTTGTGTTTCATATAAATTTCATTGTTTATTTAATTACAATTTGTTAAGCTTTTATTGTTTTTTCGATTCTTATACAAACCATGTTTCGCACACTAACCTATGCATGAGTTTTAGAAATATCTTAATCAAAATGTAGAATTCATGCCTGAATAAAAGTGTTCTGATAATCCAACCAGAGAACCACCTTGTTCGATAACATACCAGATACTGTAGTTATCAGACACGGTGACCTACATTTAAAATCGTCAGCTCTCATGCCTGAGCTTGCTCATAACGGACATTTATTCTTTAAAATATAGGCCACCTATCGTATATATTTTATCTAGGCTGTGACTTGAAGCGGTAAGTAGTTATGAAGATTTAAATCTTCAAATGTTTATTAATTAAATGCTATAACGTGCTTTAAATCTTGAAATACAACGACAACTAGATACAAACCACACTTTAGCCCATTTGGTGATGATAGTATTTTTTACCAGTATAACATTCTCACCCGTGACTTGTATTTTTGTTTATGAAGATGTGTCCATTTTTTATTGTTCCTTCCCTGTAACAGTTTAATTTGTTTAAAGATAGTAGCGATTGACGCATACATATTAATTTTTAGTTTACTAAAAACAATATAGATGTAGTTATTAAGTTATATTTTCTTCGGCACTCAATAATGATATCTGAACATATGCCTTGTACTATGTTACACAACGTCAACCTATCAATAAACTCCCTATGAAAGGGAACGTATTTTTCATAAATGAGCGCCCAGATTGTTCTTTTTATCTTTAGTCATCCCAGCACATAACTTAAGTAAGGCTACACCAAACACATTTTTTTTAGTATTGTAATATAATAAAGCGTTTGTCCTTAGAAATTTATTTTTTATGCTAGATTTATTTTCTCTGCACTTTGCGTAAATTAAAACGCGGAATTGATAAATAAACAACTACTTTAGAATTGATTTGTATTGAGTTTTCTAGATTTCATTAAAGATTTTAGTTCACAAATTAACACTTTAAAAGTGGAGTTGTTTCCAATATGTTTATTTGAGTTATATATATATATATATATATACTAGCTGCATCCCGTGCTCCGCCACGGTAAATCTTTTTTAAATGTACCAACTTGGGAACAGAACAAAACTAAACACAACACAAACGGACGCAAAAAAAAAAAAAAAAAAAAAAAGAAAAAACAAACACAACACTCATAACATAGACACAATTTAAATGCAATCATACAGGCATATTGCTCACAGTCTAGCCCGTAGCGCCAAATCGCTCCCTTTCCGGTGATTTGCACCCTCTCAAACTTTCGATTTGCACCCCTTCCCCCCCCCCTAAAACTTTCGATTTCCACCACCTTCCCCCCCTCGCACATTTTTTCCAACCCACTTTGGCGCCCCCTAAGGTCGGCACCCGGGGACATATGCCCTCCCCCCCCCCCCCCCTCGCTACGCCTCTCCTATAAAACCCGAAAGATAGAATAATAATTAGAAAACAGTATAAATAATAGGCAATATCTATAATATATACAATATTTCACTTTATCCATTCACGCATTTTTTTCCAGTACTTTAAATTTTAAAAATTTACAATAGAGTTTCATAACTAAAACCAATGCGCACCTAATGAACGTGATGAAGCGTCTATAATAGTGCTGAATAGTTGATTAAAAATTATAAGAAATAAAGAGTAGGGCCTACATATAGTGAATAAAATAAATAAAAGATTGCCTTTTATCAATCCATGCTAATTATAATTTTCTAACAATTTCCTCTTACACATCCGAATAATTTGCATTCACATTATGTTAATTATATTATTGCAACACTAATTCCTTCTATGACGAACGTATATTTGCATTCACATTTTTATTAGCGTGAGTTTAATGTATTTTTAAATTACCTCCTTTGTCAAAATTAGAAAAGAGTTAAATCCATTTGATTTTTCTAACCTACAGTTATTATGTTATTAAAATGTATCCACTTTTTCTAGGAATATTAACGTAAACTATATTTGACATTGATCCTTTTAATATGTTTTAGCAATGTGCGTGTATTTAATATTCTCTTTACGTTATGCAAAATTGTACAAACAGTGGAAATTATAAAATAGCTCTATGCCGCTATATAAACAAACCCTACTCTAATACTTATAATAAGACACTGCGGTGCACTGACAAGCACTGCATGGTGCGTAGTTTAATTTTATAGTCCCAAAATCTATAGCGATGACGGACGGAAGGAAGGAAGGAAGGAAGGAAGGAAGGAAGGAAGGAAGGACAGACACAGCCCGCTTATATTATATATATATATATATATATATATATATATATATATATATATATATATATATATATAATATAAGCGGGCTGTGTCTGTCCTTCCTTCCTTCCTTCCTTCCTTCCTTCCTTCCGTCCGTCATCGCTATAGATTTTGGGACTATAAAAGTAAACTACGCACCATGCAGTGCTTGTCAGTGCACCGCAGTATATATATACATGTATGTGTGTTTGTGTATGTATGTGTTTATAGTATTGGTACTATTCAAAATCATTTATATTCTTTGAATATTTTGTTAACAAAACAATGTATCCTACTATGTAACGATTGCTATAGTATAGCGTTTAACTGTTGCTATCTTACAGTATGAAACCTGCTATGCATGAACTATAGAAATGTCATTAAGTTTGGAATCTCTTCAAAGAGTTTGACTCTATGTTTATATTTATCATTTACTGTTTTGGTGTGATTTAAGTTCTTGCTGCAGATTTGCATCTTCTGTCATCTCATGAATGCAATATATTTTTTTGCACTCTTTTAAATTATGCAAATACTTTGTTTTATAGTTTATTTTCTGTTTTCATTAAGAATTTTGTAAAGTTCTTCTTGACCTCTCTCCTGGCTTTTATTGCTGCTCATATTGTTGTTGTAGTCCATTTTTAAAATCTTTGTTTATCCTAATACTTCTGCAAAAGATAATTTTTTTCCTAGCTACCTGACTCCAAAATCCTGTAAATTATGTATACTTATTCTAGAGAATGTGATAAATTTGGTAATTTTCTGTTACTACCTTAAGTCCTCCGGGTAGACATTTGGATATTAAACAAAATTATGCTAAAATAGGACGAAATCAACACATTTTTGGGCGAATGAAAACTAACCCTAGAGCTTTGATTTTAGAAACGCAAAGTACAATGGTATAATCATTTGAGAAATAATAATCATTAAAAAAGTTTAAAAAAACCCACGTTTTCTGATTGAACTAAAAAGTAGAAAATAAATACTATACATCACAATAATGCAAGCGATCACTCTACTATAAGCGATGAAAAACGTGGGGCGCCGAAGTAAAAGTTATATTACTATTGATTAGATAATACTATTGACTTTTATTAGGGAGCTTGTAGAGAGTCAACAGTGTTAGAAACTGTAAGAAAATCACGGCGCCCCATAAAGGATTGTTATACAGCTCATCAAAAGAATGCAGAACACATAGACGAATTAAAAAGTGAACTAAACTATCTACGGAAACATACAAAACAATATATTTCTTGCTTTAAACAAACGTATAGTGAAATCACTGCAGAATTAGGTTCTGAAGAAGATCAAATAACCGTAAAAAAAGAAATTATTGAAAACGAATATGATGAAAATGAACTAAATAAAACTAAAGTTGAAACTAAGATTGCATATTCTGAAAAGCTGCAGTATTTACCAAGTTCAATTTTGGATAATATTTATGCAGGTAAGTTTCTCGTCATTAATTTTTATTAATAATTAGTAAAATATAATTACAAAGTATTTTTATTTTATTTTAACAATAAATTATATTTTACTATTTCAAAACGTATTATTTTTTTGTATTGCTTATGAGCACTTAAATAATCTTAGTCCACGATTATCTTTTAACAATAGTCGTTAGACAAAATACACAGTATAGTGTGTTATAGCAATGCATGTTTCGTATAACACCAAAGACATAGTTATAGTACAATGTCCACAAACCTCTATATTTCAATTACCACTTTGAGACTGCTATAATTCATATATAACAACACATTGGATTAATCTTTAAAAAATAATCAACTTTTATTGCTATATTAATTAGAATAGAAGACAATTAAAATAAAATCCAATAAAATAATTTTTTTTTTCTTCTATTGGCCATCACCGAAAGCAGCATTAATATGCGATCCAATGAAATTGGGGCATAAAATATGTGGAAAATAAAATAGTAAAACTATTTTTTACGCTTTCTATAAAAAAAATGGTTTAATTGTATTAGGAAAAGTTTAACATAAATTGGTTTTTATTCTTGTTTGAATGCACTTTCTGACTGAATTTGGTGAATTTTTTTTTTTAATTTTTGAAATATTTGTATAGGCCCTATATGCGACCATATTGTTTTTTAAATGAAATCTCGATTTTTATGTACACATGTCTTATTGTTCTATTGTTTGGATGTTTGTGTCTATAATTGAATGTCAACGTTTGTGGACTACTAACAATAAATGTTAAGTCACAATACTCTCAATTATTTACTCAAGTAAAATGTGCAATACACATAATGAGGTTACAGTACATTGATAATTACTATTTCAATATCCTTATTTTTTACTATAAAACTAGGAAAATTAAACGTTTATTTGCTTTTCTAATTTAACGACTATCACGTGCGTCAATCTTTTATAATACCTTAAACGCCAGCATATACCTAAATCTTGTTTTGTTTCAGATACTGATGAAACAATCAACCTTTTACTGATAGCATTGCCTTTTAGTGGGAAAAGTGCCACAGGAAATTCAATTTTAGAACAAAATGTGTTTAAAACAGGAAATAGCGGCGATTTGATAAAAAACAAATTAGGAATTCAAATTAATCACAATTTAAATAAAACAATTTGTGTTTTGGAGTAATCAGAACAAGAAATATACCGCGGTATTTTGCATGGACTAGGCACACTGGATCGCGCATTAAGTGCAGTTGTAGTTGTTATTGATTACTTCACGATAAATTCTGTCAATTTAAAAGACAAAACAAAACACATATTGTGTCCGGAATATAGAACACTGTATGAAAATTATGGAATACTAGTTGTTACGGGAGGTGATAGTTTTGAACTTGACCATGGCAGTTCTTCTTTTTTAGACTTTTATAATAACAGGATAAAAACTATACAAGGCTTTAACTGTTTTTATAACCGTGTAGTTCTGTTCAACAATACAACAAATTCAGTAGAAACAAAAAGATCACAAAACGCCGAATTACTTAAACACGTGGAAAATCTCAAGAAAACAGGACAACCTGAACTAACACAGAACAGTTTTAAAGATATTTTTTTACAGATGTTTAAGACTTTTCTTTGACATCACAAGGACCTTTTGATAAAAGAATGGTTAAACCACCCTTTCTTTCAAATAACAGACATTGAAGTACTCACGTTTATTTCATCATTCAAATACCACAAGAATAAGCAGTTTAATTCCGTTTATAATATTGTAACAACATTAAATGAAATTAAAGGTAAGAATTAGTTTTCTTTTAATTTTTAGTATATGCTACATCATTTCCATTATTGTTGAATGTTACTTTGAATTGAAAGTAATTATACATTCTATATCCAGCTAAATAAAATAGCAGGAATGAGTTAAAAATAATAATTTATAATCACGTTTTTGGCTAGAAAAATATATTATATATTATATGTAGATTAAAATGTGTGTTTATTCTTAGCGATCCATTGAGCAAATGAAGTAGAGTTCATATCGTTCTTGACATCGGCATATGAGGTATTAAACTCGAGATATTTGGGTTAGCACCCATACGCTCTATCAACAGAACACTCCACTCCATGTTTTATATAACAGCTATATTTTTCTACAAATTTAACAACGCACAATATACACGTTCTATTTGTAATCTCAAAATGTTATGACAAGTGAATTCATTATTATACAATGTAAATTATGGATACGAAAACATTCATACTTGAATACATGTAAACATTATTATTTACTGTGTCGAGTACCGTTTTGTTTATAGCAAACAAGTGTTGCGTGGTATATAGAATACAACATTTTTTTTATCATACGTTAACAGGAAAAACAAAATTTCACTACGACCTGATTTTGTTTGAAGACAGTAAATTTGTGAATGAGTCCTTGGTTGAAGAGTTCAGCAGCTTTTCCTGTTTAAAAATAGACATTATTGGATTTGCTTACAATTTGGAAGATTTCTGTAAGCTTGTAAAATCTATACATGATGCAGTGCTTTTAGTTGCATCATACTCTATGCTAAACTCACCAGACTTGCTTTTAGCTCTAAAAGATTTGCTGGATTTTAATGAAATTAAAAGGAAATGTATATTGTTAGTAACGTATGACAATGAGTTTGACACAGATGTGGCAGATACAGATATTGAAATTTTATGTAAGTTACAAGGAGAAGATTTTAAATACTTGTGGACACAATGTGAACACAGAGCTGTTCTGTTTGATACAACGACAACAGATGTTCTCACGAAAACGGAGCAAATGTTGAATCTATTGAAACATGTCGTAGAAGTCACACATAATAAAAAATTTGAAGAAATTCCCCATCCTTATAAACTATACAAAGGTATGAAGTACTTATATTTTAATACAGCATTTCATTTAGTAAATTCCTCACATTTCCTTATTTTCAAACATGCGTGTGTATACATATACGTATAAGAAACATACGCTTATAAATATTATATACATTTATAAATAATCAATCACTCTTAAACAGATGATTTCAACACTACATCGGAAGAAATGGAAGTGTCGGAAAGTGGTGATAGCAAACATACGTATGTAGTGGGTTGGGTATATATATATATATATATATATATATATATGTCTATTTAGATATATATATATATATATATATATATATATATATATATATATATATATATATATATATATATATATATATATTATATATATATCTAAATAGACATATATATATAAAGCAATAAATATGTATTTAAATATATATATATATATATATATATATATATATATATATATATATATATATATATATCGATGGTCTCGGTCGCAAACCGTCTAACTCCGAAAATGTAAATTTTACAGGAGAGACAAAAAACTGATTATTTCCTTCTCGATCGCTCTAATAAAATTTTTTTTTTTATGATATCTTCGAAGAAACTCTCTATCGACTATACTGTAGCGTTTTAAAATGAGTTTTGTTAATATTTACAAAATGATAGCAGGTTTAAAAAGATAGACTGTTTGCTCGGTCTAAAATTCTCGGTGCAAACCGTCTATCTGTGCGCGCGCAGACTTAGTTGTTTTGAGCCGAGAATTTCGATCTCAGCCGCGTTCGTTCGTTTTGTCCAATGAAAGTGATTTAGTTATGTTTATGTTTTTAAGTTATAATTAACACTTCATAATATTTAGATTATAGTTTTGGGCTCATATTTAAATTATTTGAGTTTATTCTACATTATGGGGTCAGTTTAATTTTTAGTAGAGATGTTTTAGTATCGCTTTATCGCTTTCGACTGTATTCATTATGCCTGTAATTAGCACTTGACTGGTTAACTGTTGAAGGTTATGCTTTATTTATTACATCTTTCTATTCTCACAGTTTATTTTACTAAATCTGGTGGGTGCTGGGTTTGTAGAATGATAATAGTAAAAACAGAAAACGTATTGTCAGATATATTATGAATGAGACATAACACACTAATCACATTAATACTGACTTAATGTTTACTTATTTTACAAAAATGTAACACAAAAAAATGTGTTTATTTTTAAAATTTATTCTTTGAATAAACGTCACATAAAGAAACATCAAAATGGCAACATATTTTTAAAATCAGGGAAATCATCATAAAAAGGCGTGTTTATTACTTGCTTTTAGGTAATCAAATATGACAGCTTTTATCTTTTTTTCTGCTCTTGTACAACTTGCCAAGGGATACAGATGAGATCATAATCTTACGACCCTAGCTTAGCAATTGCCAGCTATCTGCTGATTCACTTTGAAGTAGATAGTAGCATCATGGTTGTACTGCAGTGCAAGAATATCTGTCGCGTTGAATTCTTGATAGGTCTGACTGGTGTTTTGAGATCGGCTGGTCTCTTGTATGGTAAGGCTGGTCTTTTTGAGAGAGGTTGGTGTCTAATGTCTGTTATGTGAGGCTAGTCTATTGTATGTTACGACTGGTCTGTAGAGAAAGGCTGGTGTCTTGTATGGTGTGTTGAGAGAGGCTTGTCTATTGTAGGATAAGACTAATCTTTAGAGAGAGGCTGGTCTCTTGTATGGTAAGAATGGTCTGTTGAGAGAGGCTGGTATCTTGGAGGGTAAGATTGGTCAGTTGAGAGAGATTGGTCTTTTGTATATTACGACTGGTCTGCTGAGAGAGATTGGTCTCTTGTAAGTTACTGGTGCCTTAAACGGTTAGACAAGTTTGTTGTTATATTCTGGTGTCCTGTATGGTAAGATTGAACATTTAAGAGAGTTTGGTCTTTTGTATGTTACAACTGGTCTGTTGTGAAAGGCTGGTCTGTTGAGAGATGCTGGTGCCTTTACGATTTGTAAGTTGACAGATGCTGGTGTCTTGTATGGTAAGACTGGTCTGTTCAGAGAGACTGATATGTTGAGAGGCTGGTCTGTTGAGAGAGGCTGATCTGTTGAAAGAGGCTGGTATGTCAGGAGAGGCTGGTCTGTTGAGAGAGGCTGATCTGTTGAGAGAGGCGGATCTGTTGAGAGAGGCTGGTATGTCAAGAGAGGCTGGTCTGTTGAGAGAGGCTGATCTGTTGAGAGAGGCGGGTCTGTTGCTAGAGACTGGTATGTTGAGAGAGGCTGGTATGTTGAGAGAGGCTGGTATGTTGAGAGAGGCTGGTCTGTTAAGAGAGGCTGATCTGTTAAGAGAGGCTGGTCTGTTGAGAGAGGCTGGTCTGTCGAGAGAGGCTGATCTGTTAAAAGAGGCTGATCTGTTGAGAGAGGCTGGGTAGTTATGTGGTAAGACTGGTATGTTGAGAGAGGCTGGTCTGTTGATAGAGACTTGTCTGTTGAGAGAGGCTGGTATGTCGAGAGAGGCTGGTCTGTTGAGAGAGGCTGATCTGTTAAGAGAGGCTGGTCTGTTGAGAAAAGCTGGTATGTTGAGAGAGGCTGGTCTGTCGAGTGAGGCTGGTCTGCTGAGAGAGACTGGTCTGTTATGTGGTAAGTCTGGTCTGTTGAGACAGGCTGGTCTGTTGAGAGAGGCTGGTATGCTGAGAGAGGCTGGTATGTTGAGAGAGGCTGGTATGTTGAGAGATGCTGGTGCATTAATATAGGCTTATCTGTTCTAAAATTAATCGTAAAAGCATTTACTAAAGACAACTAACCATGTCGTTTAACATGTACGCCAAACATTTTGTAACCTACCATATAAACATTTCTTAACACGTAGCTAAACCCTCAATCTAAAGCTAGTAGTGAATTAACAATAATTAAACTTATTGCACATTCTTGTGGAAATATAATTCGAATAATATTGTTTTGATTGATATTTAGATTCTAGAATAAAGATCTAGTTTCAAAGTATTGTGTTAGCGTAAAAAACTGTAAACAAATCAGTTTGGTTATTGAAAATCTGGAAATAGGCTATATTAAACAAATACTATTTGTTTATTATTCTTTAAAATGATAAAATGTAATAGAATAGTTGAACATAATTAATCAAATATCCTTACCTATAAGTACTGTGACTGCTGTGCTGTAAAATTATGTGATTGCGGCGTGCGACTGCGTTCCCGATCAACAGTGTACTGCTAAATATAGCGATATTCGTTTTGCGCCGAGATTTTTAGCGCTAGAAATAATTGGCGGTTTGTTCAAATGATTATATCTCAATAATCATTCTACAGATTTCTCTAATATTTACAGGCATTATGGGGAATCATATTGGCTTTTGATTTATGTAAAAAAAAGAAAATCGATTTTTTTTTGAGTTAGACGGTTTGCGACCGAGACCAGCGATATATATAAAGCAATATATATATATAGAGGAATATATATATATATATATATCTAAATATATCTATCTAAATATATCTAAATATACCTAAATATATTATATATATATATTATATATATATATATATATATATATATATATATATATATATATATATATATATATATATATATATATATATGGTTCCATGACAAATGATCTCAGGACAGATGATCTCAGGACAAAAGATACCAGGACAAAATATATCAGGACAAATGATATCATGGACATATGATCTCAGACAAAATATATCACTGTAAAATTTTAATAGTATGTCCGATTATTTTAGTTGATCTGAGCTTTTTTTTTTATTGACTGGCAATATGGTTTGATTTACTTTTTAACGCATAATAATTGTGAAGAAAATGAATTCGTTGAACTTAAAAAAGCATCGATAGATTTATCAAACATAATCTTTGTAATAGCATTTGATTTGAAAAAGTAAAAATTAAAACAAACTTACTCTTTTAGCCTGAAATGTATAATAAATGATAATGTATAAAACAAATAAAGTAAAATTAAAGTTCAAAAGACGCTAAATATTTTTGAAAAATGTGAATGGGTCTTCAGGTTCGTAACGTAATACTATTGTTTTTATTACAGCATCAACTTAAACATAACGTTTATGTTACTTAGCTAGCAGTTACATCGTTATGATCACACTTCTCCAATACTATGTGATCATCTATTGTTTGAACTCTTGCTCGACATGTTTTAACTTCACATCTCTTTACCTGCTGCTCACATGTTTGTCAAGTCCACCTACGCTGTCTATCGAAAAAAAATCTTTAATCTTCGCATTCTATATTAGTAATCTTAATTTTAAAATGTTTAGAGCATTATAACAAATGTATGCGGCAAACATTTCTCACAATAACTATATAGGCCTACAAACAATATCAAGCATAGTAAACAAAACCATATTATGGCACTCAATAAAAAATGTTCAGATTAACTAAAATCATCCAAAACACTACACAATTTTTCTGTGAGATATTTTGTCTGAGATATTTTTTCTGAGATTTTTTTTCTGAGATCATTTGTCCATAGTTTCATTTGTTCTGATATATTTTGTCCTGGTATCTTTTGTCTGTGAGATCATTTGTCCTTTAGATCATTTGTCCTGAGATCATTTGTCCTAAGATCATTTGTCCGTGAGATATTTTGTCTGATATATTTTGTCTGAGATCATTTGTCCTGTCACTATATATATATATATATATATATATATATATATATAACTATGTAACTGCTATATATATATATATATATATATATATATATATATATATATATATATATATATATATATATATGTATACGTACATTTGTACAATTTGAACATAACTGAACATAATATCTTTAAGCTAATGATTTTATTTGTTTTCAAAGTGCAACAAAATTACATCACACAGAAGCAAGCCATAAAAAACAAAGGAGAAAACATCGCCTCAGGAAATTATCAAAGATGAAAACTTCCATCGATAGAGATAAAAGGAGAAAGGAAAAGCATGAAATAGATATGGAAATTAAGAGAAAGAAAAATAAATTTTGGGAAATTAAGATAGCTAAACTTCAAAAACGTCGAAAAGTTAAGAAGGAAGAATTTAATGAAGATGAAATAGTAGACGTATCTACCTTAATTCAACATGGTAACATGACCTGAAAATAGTTACAGAGTAAAAAGTTGACTTTGCCTTAACAAATACACATTGCGAAAGTTACTACATGTTGCAAAAATGTTTTGCCTTTAATCCTTACTCTTTTTATTGCTTTTGTAATCACCAAAAATAAAATGAGCGTAACTAAACAGATTTAATTATTTAATATTACTTTGTCAAATAGTAATAACCGAAAAAGGCAATTGTAAATAATTGTACAAATTTAATGTAATATACAGCACAAAAAAGAAACTGTTTCAATGCGATTGTGTTTATATTTTTTTTTAATAAATATAAATCCACCATATAGAAGTTTGCAATTAAGCATAAATGACATGGGATCAATGGTTAACATCTTGATCGATACATATATATATATATATATATATATATATATATATATATATATATATATATATATATATATATATATACATTATTTAAACTATGGATTCATTTTATAAGTGGTATTTGCAGTTACATTGTATCAAAAGAGAACATTTGTTTATTTTATTAAAATAATGTACACGATTTTTACTTTCTCGTATATACGAAGTATAGAGAAAGTCTTGTAATCGTGCAAAAAAAATCGAGATTTTTGCAAATCTCGACGTTTTACATCTCACTGATACGGAAAAACATAATTTTGCAATCTTGTCCGTATGTCTCTGTGTGTGTGTGTGTCCGTCTGTAAACACGATAACTTGAGTACCGTTACAGCTAGGTTGATGAAATTTCATATATAAGTATTTTATCAAAATCGTAGATCCGTATCAACTTTTGAGCGATTTCCGATAACCGGAAGTGGTACTTTTTCTACTTTGAATTTTTCAAAAGCCTATAACTTGAGTACTATTTCAGTTAGATAAATGAAATTTGATATGTGAGTAAAAGATCTAATTCTCTACCTTCTGTCAATATTTGAGTAATTTCCGTTGACCGGAAGTAGTAATTTACGTTATTTCCGATTTCTCAAAAAACGCATGTAAATTTATAAAGTACTAATAATATTGCGCACTATTATGCACATCTTTATTTAGCGTTCACTTGGTGTGCATTTCTTTTTTCTACGAGATTATATTCTATTTTTAAAAATTTGAGTATTCAAAATGGATTAAAAATCATGTCTAGAAGTCTATATCCCGAGTTGCCATCCCCCGTAGTGTTATATTAGAATATTCGAGAAAGTTTAGGGGAGATCACTCCCGGTTTATTTTAATAGACGAAATATTACTATAAATAAAATATAGTTAGCAATTTGCCTTACCCTTTTAATACAAGCGCCGGCAAATTGGAGAAAAAAAACAGTACCAAACTCGAGAATCTGTTAAGCAATATAAGATTTTTTAAAGTTGCACATAAAGGAGAAAATATACATACAGACCGATGTAGTTCGGCAGGTGGCCTACATAGAGTCACATGCTAAATGGAAAATATTAAAACGTTACACAAAGTGTATGGCCCAATTTATATTAAAATCTAATGGCATATCAATGCATTCACAGAACTTATATTTATGTAACGCGATATTATAATATAATAACCAAAATTATATTGAAATAATATGTCGCTTAGAAAAAGCACACACACGTGTTTTATTCATATCAGATAAATCAATTTTATCACATCAGATAAATCAAATAAAACATTGCATTTTGATACATCATTGATGATTCTCATTTAAAATTTCAGTTGTTGTAGTTACTTATAATTCAAAATAATTTATAAATGAAACTTGTAAAGCCGTAGAGTAAATATATGGTATAAACTACGCTTAATGTTACCAGTTCTTTGCTTGTCCGCCATTTCTCTAGACTGAGACCCATCACAGACTCAAAACACGTGATTTTGATTTCATCCCTATATCTAACTATAATTTTTTGTTACATGTCATGTGATCTACTGCCATAACCCGCCATCATAATAATATGAATGCCTATTAAAATAGCAGTTAGTGTTATTAATGTAAGTAACATAAACAATTATATGTAAACTACCATGTTCTTTACATCAGTTAAAAGAATAATACATTTACAAATAGCAAAATTTTAAAATTGTTTTTACACATTTTTTTCCAAGTATCTATATTTTACCAAAACATTTTATTTCTTTTGTGACAAATGCTCAATCTCCAAAAGTATTATTTACATACAGTTAAATATAGCATATATTACTCTAACATTAGTTTACGATGCAATTCTTTTAGTTCTAAAGATTCCAAGGCCGATTGAATCTTCTCTGTTTTCCTCTGTAAATCATGGTCGTATTGTTGTACTTTGAACTTCAGATATGTTTCTTCATTTTGTAATGTGTGCATTGTGTAATTCGTAGATAAATTTCGTCTGATTTTTGTGTTTCTACTAGAACAGAAGAAGATAAAAAAATATCACCTTTAAAAAAAATATGCATGATTATAAAACAAATCACTTGTCCTAAAATATTAATTATTCTATTCTTCGGGCTAAAATTATGACGTTTTTGTGTGATCAAATAATTGCTTTACTATTGAAAGATGTGTTTACATTTTTAACAATCTTTTTTCAACCTTCAGTTTCTTCAACTCTGTTGTTTGGCTAAGCAATTCATGTTCTCTCTTCAGATTTTTTCTCTTCCATATGAAGGGATCTTGTTCTTGCTGTATGTTTCTTTGAATCGTTTCATTGGATAACTTTTGGTAGGTTGATCTAAAATTAGGAGCATTTATTAAATGTTTATAATTACAGAGTAGCAATGGACCCAACAGTATTACACGCTATATAAATTATAACTAAAACTTATGCACTTAGCAATTAATTAGGGACAATGTAAATCTGAACATCAACTTAACATATATATATATATATATATATATATATATATATATATATATATATAATTTGTTTTAAATTTTATAATGAATTTGTAATTATATGGAAACGTAAGAAATAACGTTTATACATAGGTATTAAATATTGGATATTTTGTGGATGTAAATCTCTTTAGCTTTTATAGAGTCATAATAACTACTCATTCTGTATCAATTCTTAATGTCCTGTTATTATGATTAATCAGGACATTTCAATGTATAATATTTACCATTAAACTAGAGAAACAACTGACCACTCTTACAAACCGAACTTTTTCTTTTAAAAAATGGATAGTTTAAGCATTAACCGAGTGAAATTTAACTTATTACAATATGAATAGATTTATAACAGTAGGTAATATTCCCCTTTCATATGAGAAGAACAATGTATATGATACTTTACCATGACATATGAAGCGGTATACTTAACGTCATTTTACTTTCCTTAATGAGTAATGACAGTCAGGTACGTATAATTACTGGATGGAGTAGGGGAGTTATTGCAGAATCATGCCATGGCCGTCATCCGAACTGTTGACTATTAACACGAACTACCAAGCGCCCTATCACTCAACTACACCATCCAATGAATAGATTAATGTAAGCAGAAGTTTAGCCCATTACTGACCTTTGCGAAGGTGAATATTGGTGTGTTGTGTTGTACAAATATTCAGAAGTTTCTGGACTGCTGTTTGATTGTGTAACATCATTACTTGGGCCCATATTATCTGTCTCTTTACACAGCACTACAGTATCCAATGTTTTGACAGGAACAAGTTCGCTAGTAGAACCTGTGTTGTAATCTGCCGTCAATAATGGCATGTCGATCACGTTTTGGGCACCTTCTGTAAAGTAATTTGTAACTGGTTTATGGTCCGTTATTTAAAGTTTAATCTACTTGGTCTGTTATGGAAAATTCAAACGTTTTCAAAATAATTTTATGTTTACATACTATGTTTTATTAATATATAATGTTTCTATCCTAACTTTAAAATAAATTAACTATGATAAGTAACAACCTGTTGTATCATTCGAATTCGGTTCATTTCTTCCTCGATTCTCTATGGCATCTATGGATTCTTCATTAATGTTTGATTTTTCTTCTTCCTGTTCTACTAACATCGAATAATTTATTTCTACAACAGGTCTATAATCTTCTAACTCACCCTGACATATTTCACATATTAATTTCACTATAGTCGTGTCACAGCTGGACGCACCACTGACTTTGTTTTCGCCTTCATCTGTCAGCTGTTTTTTAACCTGACTTTTCATCCTTCGATAACAATTTTTAATACAGTTTGTGCTGCTATTTGTAAACTTGGGGTACTTTATTTTGAATTGGGATGTGATATTTTCCCAAGCTTCTTGTCTCTGTGATCTGGTAGTTTTGTCGCGTTTCTTTGATTCTATTATGTATCTGTGTGCATTAACCATTACAAGAAGGTCCGTTTTTTCTTCAATTGACCAGTTTACTGGACGTCTTGAGCTTATGATGCTGTCTACAGGACCAGGTAGTGCCTTTTCAGCTGTTTTTTCGATGCCCTTTGTCCCTAGTAAATTGTATTTGAGATAACATAATTTTAATTCTTTTTTATTTTACACACATTAACAAAGGTCTACATCATTATATTTGCATATTTTAAAACAATCTACGTAAAATAACAGGCAAATATTGGCAGTTAGTATTTCAAAATTATTATTTTTTATTTAGTGAACCTAGATCGTACAGTGAACCACTTTTAACTTCTGGCATACAGAGCTTTAAGAGAGTACTGTAATTGTTGTTAATCATATATATATATATATATATATATATATATATATATATATATATATATATATATATTATAAACGTTAGTTACAGGATTAAGGCTAGTAATAGAAATTTTCTCGAAACTGATATTCTTATTTTTAAATATTTCTTCTTAAACTTTCAAGATATATGTCTATATGTTAAAACAAATAATTTAATCTGAGCCGACACTTTAACTTAAAAGCGGAGACCTTTTATTTCTCCAAAACATCAACATTTTGACTATTTAGATGAAGTGTTAGCTTCCCTCAACCATCGCATCATTTAAAATTGTAATGAAACACCTATTTGCTTATTTTTTTAAGAAAATTGGCTCTTATTTGACTATTTAAATTAGTTTTATTGAACCCTAATTGACTACGTTTAAGTGTATTCTTTTTTTTTTAATTTGAAGCAATATTTTTGTTTAACTTTGACCCATATCAAATCACATATTTCGTTTAAACTTTCCAGTTACATTCATCTTAGATGAC